GCACAGAAACTAGTTTCTTTTGGGGCTTTACCACCGGCCTATGTGTGGTTTTGGGCCTTGTCACGGGCTAAGTGACCGTAGTCATTAAGACTTGGGTTTTGTGAATCAAATCATTGAACCATCTGAATATCGAACCATCGATTTGAACAACGAATTACTTTGAATTATGTTGTTGGCTTTTCATTTAAAATGTATTGTACATTGTTTATTTTTAGCTATGAAACCATCTTACAATGATTGTTCATTTATTGAACTATAGAAAAAAATTATATTTATTGGTTATCGATTTATTTATTTATTTTTGTATATTTGATCCAGCTAGCAGTGATGGTTGGTTATTTACTAGGCTATCTAGCTTACCCTTATTTTTCTTTTCAGATTCTGAAGAGTAGAGTTGCGCGAAATTATTTTTACATGTGGGAGTGCCGAGAGTAAGACTATGATTTAAGTACTTGGATTATTGTTTTGTTAATGGATTTTATTAGTGGACTTGGTGGATAATTTCATATGATAAGAATAATCAATTTTTATGGATTTTAGCATTATGACAATTAAGGATTTAATTGGAGTATTTTACATTGTTGGTTATGTGCTGGACTCTTAGCCTTGCATGCTCACTTAAATGAGTGTGCGGCATTGTCACGGAGCTTGGGGCGTGACACAAGGTGTTGTTGCCACCGATACAATCACCTTGGGTTCAACTAATGGCCAACCAACATCCTTTTCAGGGATAATTTTTGGGTGTCACTGCTGGAAATTAGAGTTTTAGAGGCGTTTAAAAAACGCCGCTATAGCTCTTAAAAACGCCGTTAAATCCTTGTGCGGCGTTTATCACCAAACGTCGAAGATGCAGCCGTCGCTATAACTCTATGGCGCTTTAGAAACGTCGCTATATTACTATAGGCGGCATTTTAAAAAAACGCCGCTAAAAGTTCTTCTAACGGTAAGATGACATCACTATTCTATTTAGCGACGTTTTTAAAACGCCGCCGTATCTGTTTTTCAAAACTCCAACTGTTGGTATGCTATTTAGCGACGTTTTTAGAAACGCCATGATAGCCCTTTTCTTTTTTTTTTAAATTGTGCTAATTTTATGTTATTGAACTAAAAAAATACCTATAAAAAAACTAAAAAATAGCGATAAAATTTTCGTAGTCAGCCATATTCGATATAAGCACAGGCCCATAAGAACCAAATTGTAGATGGAAACAACCAAAGTGTCCATTTGCCACTGGCTGACAATACCAAACCAGTGGCTCAAAACCCATTTTTAAGCAAGCATTAGTGTCTACAGGTCTATCTATGGTTCCATCCACAGGTCTATCTATGGTTCTATCCACTTCCACTACAAAAACATTAGAGACTGTATGCTCTTCTTGAACTCATAAAGAGTTGTAGTTCACAACTGAGACGAGTCAACTGCTCAAGATACATACTATTCCTGCAAAAACAGATCAAACCAATTTCAATTATAGAGATCATATGTAACATATCTAAAGCTGTTATAGAAAATAGATTTAACAAAAGTCAACCCTTCTTGATTCAACACAGTTCTTCATCCAACAAATCAAATTTAGTTAGTGAATGAAGCAACTTGTGATTCTACTATATTTTAGGTAAGCATCAAGATTTTTCTTTTAATATTTCTCGTAAAAAAAAATCCATTAATATACAGCAGCCTCTGGGCCTTGAGTTGAGGGCAAATAAATGGTGACCACAGTTCAATTTTCATGTGGGATGATTGAAATCCTGTATTGTGGTTTGGGTTCTTGACCAATTTAATGGGTATGTTTGATGTGGGAAAGAGCCATTAGGCTGAAATACCCGGAATTTACAACCAATTTTAGAAAAAAACATCACAATAGATAAAAGAAATTGATTTTACAAGTTTCTATACTCACATCTTTTGACAAGAGACTATCCAGGTTAAATTCCAACCTTGGATTCACAGAAGCTAACTTCATTGACAGAAACTACAAAATACAAAATGAATACACAATACCCATTAAGTCAAAGTTAGTGACAGCACTAACCCCGTGAAATTTTATTGCTGCTATGTCATAGGCCTCAGCAGCTTCCTCTTGGGTGCCTGAAAATTGCAGTTAAATCAGAACCAGATCAAAATGAAATCAGAACCAGTACAAGAACAGAAAGCCACAGATTCAGGTGAGTGGCTTCACTGTTACAGTTCAGAATGGCAAGCTCATGATTAGGGACCTCTTTTGCAGATTCGATAGCCTTGTTTCGCCTGGCAAGGTCTCCGGCAAGAAGGGTATTGCTTGCCATGATGCGCTCCACATCGTACCTTGATATGTCAAAGTTAGTGACAGCACTAACCCCGTGAAATTTTATTGCTGCTATGTCATAGGCCTTAGCAGCTTCCTCTTGGGTGCCTGAAAATTGCAATTAAATCAGAACCAGATCGAAATGAAATCAAAACCAGTACAAGAACAGAAAGCCACATATTGCATTTAAATAGTTGCATTTTTTTAGCAAATTATGTAGCAAAACCACTAATGTCTTGGCAGAATTTGAAATGAGAAGATTTTTTAGCAATTAGATGTCTACGGGAAAAACTTTTTGCCCAAATAAATTGAGAAGATGCAAAGGAACTCACTAAATGTCCCTAGATAAAGGTCCTTGTTTCCTGCAACTCTGCCTATTCGAGCTTGCCAGCGTCCATGTTGATGATGTCTGTTGAAGATTACATCAGAATTAGAGACCCATAAAGAAGGGCAGGGTCTGGGAACGACGAGATGTACATCAAATATACTTCTACTTATAATTAAAGGAAGCGTGCCAATAAAAATTATAGATTAACAGATGTATGTGCAAAAAATAGTAAGACCTTGTGACTCCTCTGTACATTGAAGCACCCCTTGAGAAGCCACTGCTTTTTCTGCAAAGATCAATATATTAGAGATAAAAACACATCAAACAAAGAAAACAAACATTGTTGTCTAATATACAAGGGGAGAGACTATACCTTCTTAAGTGAGCAACATATTCTTGTCTGGTCATGTTCTTCATATATTCAAGTTCTTGTTGATAGTTTTCCAGCTAAATCATCAATATACAGAGTCTCATGTCAGTTACAAAACAATTGTTAGATGAAATAACCTGATGAGAGGGTCAGAGAACCACCGGAAAATTGATATGGGTCGAAGGGCCCCAATACCTGAGTGCAGCTAAATCATAAGCTCTTGCAGCCTTTGCTTCCATATCATAACCCCCTGAAAATTAGTATTTGGCAATGATGATGCTATGAGAATTGAAGGAAAGAACATGCTTATTACTCAATCATTGTCAATAACAAGACTTACCCAGATAAACTGATAGTCATTATTGGTATCACCCAGCAATGAAGAACATGAGAAATGAGGAAAGAATAGTATATTAATCACTTGAACAACAAAAGATGGCCAACAATGCAGGGCCTGGCAAAGTAAAAATCTTAAGGAGGCAATGTGGATGGATTATATGTTTCCTTCACTAACCTTGCCTTCCTTTCCTGCTTTGTCCCTCTTTCTTACAACTATTGTCCCATAGATGGGCTTCATATCTACCAGTCCATCTATGCCTGATGGATGATAATCCACAGAGAGAAAATCAAAGTACTAAACATGAAAACAAGGGAAACATGACTTATAAAAATAAATAAAGGGTGATCCAGTACACTAGATTCCCGTTAATGCAGGGTTTGAAGAGAATAAGATGTACAAAGTCTTATCCCGTTTTTGGAGAGGTTGTTGCAGTGGCTTGAACACGTACCACCAGAGATGTCAACAGCAAACTTATCGTTAGGCCAAGCCACCTTTAACTCACAAGAATGAATGAGAGAGAAATTGAAAAAATGCAAACACAGCAAGATCATGAAGCAATATATTGCTTTTGGGGAAGTACTAGATAGGGAGCCATTTGATACCGAATTTGGAGTAAGGGTATTTTTGGTATTTATGCATTTGTGATACATTGCTCTAATTATATGCATGTGGTTGCGAGGGGCACCTATCTCTATATATTTTGTGTAATCTTTTTTATTCAGTGCAACTGCAACTATCATGAATTTGTGGATCGTTTTTGGGTAATTTATGTAAATCTTGTATTTTTGTATATGCATGTGATTTATAATTCTTATGCATTTATTCTTTTCTGTTTTTCTGTGAGCCAATCTTGGTTAGGTGTGACTAATTCCTAACAGGATAATGAGTGATGTAGGAAGAAAGGTATGCATTTTGTATAATAAAATAAAAAGATAGACAGATGCAATAACAAAGAACATCTAGCAAATTACAGAAAAGAGATGGAAGGAGATTAAAGAACTAACCTTGTGACACCTCTATACTGTGAAGTCCTCTGTCCAAATGTATCAATGGACTTCCTATGGACAACCTGCTTCTGATCAAGCTTCTCAGACCCTTTTTTCTTTCCCTCCATGGCTACACACTCAGTAACAGTGGGTGAGATCTGCTGTGAACCAGTAACACAGCTTGATTGGGAGCCAGGGCAAGCTCAGTGACTGCAAATCCCTATACCCCAATGCACTCACAGACCCAGATTCAACCCCATTGTCCAATGCATGACTTGCAGGGTAATAATTCCTTGAAACCCAGTTCTTCATCACAGAGAAATCATCTTCTGCCATGTTTGGGAGCTGGAGATTGCAATCTGAAACCTGGGCCTCCTTAGTCCCCTCCTTGAACGGTGTTTGGTACACCTCATGGCCTCTAAATGCATAGTAAATCCAGCTCATCAATTAGTCTTGAAGGGACAAAGATACCATTTCCATGCACATGTCAGATATTCAAATACTCATGTACAAAAATTTAATGTTCAGGTGCAAAATGCATATATAGTAACTACATAATGAATTGATTTTTTTTAATTATTAAAAAATTAAAAAATAAATAAAACACAATCATAAACCATGGTCTCAACAATCCTGATAAACAAGCAATTAGTGGTGCGATTTGCATCATGACATTGTCTTCAATATCCAATCACCTGTTACCAAAAAGAAAAGAAGCCAGCATAGAGTCCAAAGGTGCAGCTCAGCTCCAGGTTAGCTCAACTCAGCTCATGGGTGTTCATAATGTACCAATCACAAGTTGCATAAAATTGTCAAAGCTATTCAACAACACAAAAGAGAGAAGAAAAAGGGTCAGCTCAGCTCATCAGGAGAAACTAAAGACTATGACCTGACCTTAGAAACTAAAGACTCCAGACATCACCAACATAACTCATTTAAATGTTCCGCTTAGGAAGAAAAAAAATACCATCTCTTGTTAAGTGTTACACGAAGTTCTTGGTAATTCCTAGTTTCCTGTCCTCTACACTACATGATTACAGTAAAACATACAGACAGACCCAAACTTTTAGACTAACATTTTTCAACATACAAAACCCAAAATTCATGAGAAAAGAGGCTTTAAATGAGCAGAGACAATGAAAACATACCAATTGTGAGCACAACACTTAAACATACAACACAAATCTGACTAATTGTAAGTTATATAGAGTTGACCAATTCAGATGAATTGAGACTAGCATTTAAAAAGTTCAGGCCAGCCTGGCCCAATAAGCCTAATTATCAATTCAAAGCCCTTAAAAATGTGGGCTAGATTAGGCAGGCCACCAAAACAGTGCCACCCCTATGCAGGATGCGTATTTCTCTAGTAAGTGCTGGAAAAGTTCCTATAGAGAGGAGTACATAGTTAATTACCAGCTAGTTGTCACAGTAGTAATGAAGAATTGTGATCCGTTGGTGTCTGCTCCTCCATTTGCCATGGATATTACTCCTGTAATAAGAAAGGGAAAAAAAAATTAAATCAAAATTCTTGTGGCAAACTTGAAAGCCTAGAGTTTAGATAAGGTACTTGCGAGGGGTTTTGTGCTTACCAAGGCCGGTGTGCTTCAGTTCAAAATTCTCATCGGCAAAGTTGTCACCATAGATTGATTCTCCACCCCGCCCATCACCAAGAGTAAAATCACCTCCCTGGATCATAAAACTGGGAATGATCCTATGGAATTTGCTCCCTTTGTAATGGAGAGGCTTCCCACCTTTTCCAGTTCCTTTCTCCTCTGAAATGAAAGGGATCACTACAAATGTAAATATGTAAACAAAGTTCCAACGTAATTCTGGTGAGTAGTTTTAACATCAAATTGTGGGCCTCATCCTCCGGTAAAGTTACTGCTTCCAATGCATCAAGGCTTGTAGGCAATTATCACTAGATGACGCAGAATTCCCCCCCCCCTTTTCTTGAGCCATACAGTAGTGCACATCTAAACAGTAAGTACAAGTCCAAACAAAAGCTATTTTACAATTTGGGTAACACCGTTATACCAGAGTTATATTACAAAGCACCAATTGCTTTCAACATCTGGCAACTTTAAATCACAAAGCTCCAAAATTACCAAAATCCATTTATTTTAATTTTTCATATATCCGATTGTTTAATATCATTTTTATATTTTGTGTCAAATCTTACAATTCTCATTTCAATTTGCTTCACAATTAGCAAAATTAATATTTTAGTGCATTGTTGGATGTTCAAGGCAAAAATATTATTCAAGCTTCTAATACACCCATACAATTTATGTGTGAATTATGAAAGAGCATTGTAAATCTAACCAATCAAAAGCTATGACCTGACCTTAGAAACTAAAGACTCCAAACATCACCAACATAACTCATTTAAATGTTCCGCTTATACACTGGAACAACACCTCCTTGGGAAAATAACATTTAAATGAACTTTAGAGATCGATGTGAAAACCAAGACATCCTAGCCAGACAGATCATAAAACAATATAACAAAATAAGATTGAGGAACAACAAATCTGTATTGATGCAATTCAAATTCTAGCTGTCAATCCATAATTAGTACTTTTCTACATCTGAATTGACAAACTCAGAACTAGATAAATGATAAATACATACCATTTGGTATATCCTTAAGCTGTGTGCCTTGACCCTGCATATTTACAAAACACAATGTGAGAAAATTCACAATTACTAAGGGGGAAAAAAAAGTATAGCATAAATTTACTGTCAACACCTTCTCAATGGACAATGCTTTGCTTGCACTTCTCCCAGTCGAAGGCTCCGAATACCGCTCGGCAGTCTTCCTCTCCCTGATCGGCCTCTCAATTGGCGTAACAGGCTCTTTCGAGCCGGGCTCACTCTTCGCCGCCTTCTCATCTTTTGCAGCTTTCTTCGAACTACCCTTTCGGCCTCTCTTCGCCTTCTTGCTTACCTCCTCTGCTTCCTCCTTACTCTCTTCACCTTTCACCTCAGGTTCAAAAAAAAAAAGAAAAAAAGAAAGAGTTATTGGATAAGAAGTCTAGAAGGAGAAAGCCACCAGTCCTGCAGACAAAGGGTTAATTACACTTTTATCTCCCCTCAACTATCAATGAATATTGCTTTACCACATCAACTTCAATACTGTACATTGAGAACCATTAACTATGAAAAATGGTACAAATACCCTTCTTTTGGAAGGGTGGAAGTGAAGCAATTTTTATAGTTGAGGGATCCAAATGTATGGTTTTAAAGTTATGGGGGTAAAGTAATATTCAGTGATAGATCAGGGGGAAAAAGTGTAAAGAAGATTGATAGAAGCAATATCTAGTCCTTCATGCCATCTGTCTACAAGTAATTTTCCACAAGGACTTCACACTAGCACTCCTTTTGGTAATACGCTAAACAATTAGGTAGCCCAACTGAAAAACTAAGTCCTTTTATGATACATGTGAAATCTCCTTCTGAACAAAAAGGTCCACACAGTATCCTACTTTCCCACAATGACCTGTTTTGAGTCTTTCAGACTTCTTCCAGTTACTAGGAAAGCAGTTATAACTGTCATGGTGTCCAACCATGTCTCCCAAATAACAGTGGGTGTTTTACTCGTGTATCGTGTAGTGGTAGCATTTTGCATCATCAAATTATTCCTTTTAGAATTTCCATTTATTTTTTTATTTGTTTTCCCTCGTCTTTTAAAAGATTGTATCCCTGTCAGGTTTTGACAATAGCAGTATTATTAGTGCAATTAACCCAAAAGATGGAAGAAATATTAACGTGCTAAAAAATTTTCAAGTAAAACCACATAGAAAGACAGTACCCAAACAAAATGCCTGATTCCAAGCCGTAAATAATTTCCTCAACAACTTCAGATTGCATCTGCAAGGAAAAAGAACATCACAACATAAAAGGGGAAATACCAAGCTGACGCTTTGTAGTTTGATAAAACAATACATAATATTAGGAAGAAAAAAAATACCATCTCTTGTTCTCTTCGGTGACGTCTGTAGATGCGATGCCATCTGTTAAGTAGTACCTACAGTCACGAGATTTCTGTTAATGCCTGAATCATATCGACAAATTTAAGAAACAATTTCTTTAACAAAACCCTAATTTTCCTTCTTTATTTATTTATTTTAGAATAACCAGCTGAAATGAAGGTGTATCAATATAATGCACCGACACTTTCACTACCATGCTAAGAGATGGTGGGTGAGATCTAATAATGTAAAGTATATTCCCTTTGTATCTTAATCTTTTTCTTTTTATCATAATTTTTTGTTTTTTTTTTACAAAATTCAAAAATCTAAATTCATGGTAGATAGGATTTAATGGACTCTTCCATAATATTACAGCTAGATTAATACTACTACAACTTTGCTTTTTTTGAGTTTCTCATAATATACAGATGTAACTTTATTAAAAATTAAAAATGCTTGAAGCCAACAATGAGACTCTTTATTTATCACACAGACAACAAGACGACCCCTTGCATTATCTCTAATCTTGTTTTAATTCTTTTTTCATAAAATGCACTGAAGACCTTTAATTAACTTCCTGATTACCAAAAAAATCAAAATTAACAAAGAATTATTTGCAAGAAAGAGTAGATGGACAATAATAACATTCAATTGAATCAAAGTCTTATAGTACATAATAGAGAAACTGCAGAGAGACTAAACTCAAATAAATGAAGAAATTAATCATGAAATTACATACTGGAATTTAAAAAAATATTACACTCATTGTTTTTTTGTTTTTTGGGAGCCCAGACGACATCCTTAGAACCACTCACATCTAAACAAACCCACATTTACGTATTAGAAATTCTTACATCTAATTTACACAACAATTAACAAGTAACAATCCCCCCCCCCTAATTAAAAAGTCCCCCAATTAACACCATTCATCATCAACATAAAAAATTTAAAAAATAAAAAATAAAAGAAAGAAAGCAGGAAGGAAGGAAGGAAGGAACGAACGATATGGCAGATGCAAAAACGTGAGCTTGATCTTGAGACGATCTACAGCTTTATTTTTCCACGAACACATGATGATGTTAATTTTCCAAAACAACATTGATTGATGGATATGGATGCCCAAATGAATCAATGATTAAGTTGGGATCTGGTGTTGATCTTTCCGATTCCATCGTCGAAGTTCTGAGAATAAGTAACGGAGTCGTACCTGAAGGCTTGAGGGAGGTTATGATGAGGGCGAACTAGAAGCTTTCTGAGCTTGTAGAAGACGTGTCTCCAGCCACCCTTGTTGTGGCAGCCCAGAACAGCAGTCTCTTGTTTGTTCATCTCCAGATCTCTGGCGAAGGTGGGCTTTCTCGAGAGGATCCAACCGCATCCCCAATCCCACCATTTCCTGATCCAACCGCATCCCCAAACCTAGCAAATCTATATCAGAAAACCCTAACCTTGAGCCCTAGATCGATTTAGATCATAGGGATTCAAACAATCACGGAGAGATAAGCTCAAATCACGAGTAGAACAAGATTTTTCAGATCAAACAACTGAAGAATTGATGGAGATTGAAGATCCGACGCCTCGAAGATCCGATGCCTCGATTTCTCTCTCTTTCTGAAGTCACGCCTCTGTTCAATCTGAATAGAAGAATGTCATAGCCTTGAGTTGAGCCACTGTTTAAAAGAAATAACGGGGCACAAAACGAGAGATGGTTTAGTTTAATTTTTTTGGAATTTGAAAATTCTGGACAATTTCACGACGTTTTTGAAAAACGTCATAAAAAAAACGTCACTGTATGTCCTTTTTCTTGTAGTGTGTGGCTTTAGCAATGCTGGCACATTCAATGATGAGGGCTCAGGCATAGTTGGTCTTGGTGGTGGAACAGTTTCTCTTATTTCGCAAATTTTCCTATTGTTTGATGCCAATGTCTTCTCAAAGCGCAAAGTCTAGTCAAATGCATTTTGGTGACAATGGTGTGATGTCAGGGAATGAGGTGGTATCTACACCAATTATTCTGAAATCTCCAAACACCTTTTATTTCTTAACACAAGAAGGATTTTCAGTCGGACGACAAAAGTTGGAAATTTACAACTATTCATCATCATCACCAAATGCATTTGGTGCCTCTGGGAATGGTAACATCATCATAGACTCGGGAACAACATTGACATACCTTCCACTCGATCTTTATGAGAAATTAGAGTCGGCTGTTAAGAGCTCAATTGGATTGCAAAATGTCTATGGTTAGTAATAATATCACAATTCCCATTATTACAGCACACTTCACTGGTGCAGACGTGAAGCTGAATCCTATGAACACTTTCATTAGAACAAGCGATAACATTGTGTGCCTCGCTTTCGCACCAGCAAATATTGCAATCTATGGTAATGTGGCACAAGTGAACTTCTTGGTTGGTTATGATCTCAGCAAGAAAACTGTGTTCTTCAAGCATACTGATTGTGGGAGAGTGTTATAATATGAATGTCTTCATTTCAATCATCTTCTTTTTCTTCTTCTCTTTTTAAATAAATAAATCGTTGTTTATTAGGTTGTGGTCTAGTTAACTGTACCCAGAATCTCTTTATTTTAGTAGTCAAGCATTGTTAATTATAAAAGCATGTTACGTATTATTTGATGCAGGATTTAAGTGAAGATCATTTCCTCATACACTACAAGAAAAAACACATTTAGCGACTAAATTTTTTGTCGCTAAAAATGAATTTTTAGTCGCCAAAAGTCAGGTTTTAAGTTTTCCCGACTAAATTTTTTAGTTGTGTAACGCCCTCAAAATAATAACATTAAACCCAACAAATAAGACAAGCGTTGATAGATAAACTAACCACCTTCTATCATTCATTAGAATTCCATTACATAAGTATTACATGTTAATCTCATAACAAAATGCCCTACGGGCTTACAGCTTTCCAAGTTAACACTTGGTTACAACAAAGAGGTCTAACTCGTTTACACATTAAGCCCTTGGCTTGAAATTACATGTAATACATCAAAAGTAAAACGACAAAACTATGCCCTCCACTAGCCTCCCAGCTATGTCCGTTTGTAGAAAGATACACCTAATTAAGTACCCTCGTTACAATGTTGTCCCCAAAAGGGCACTACTGTCAAGAACAGTCTTCTATAACTTCCTAACCTTCTTTTGTTTTTCATGTTCTCAGCTCATTCCCATCATAAGCTCTGCCACAGAGCCCTTGATATCTGACAAGTTGAATGTTTTCATGCTATGTTTTGATCAGTGATCATTGATGAATTGTAATGCCAAAGTGTAACACTAATGCTATCATACATGTACCAAAATGAATGGTTATTTAATATGCCATGTAGGGCCAAAGAGTGCCACGTGCAAATTTATGTCAATAATTTGGACGGTAGTTGGGAATTGAGCCAAATTGGGAATGATCATATAGTTTAGAGACCAAATTGGGAAAAATAAACTTTAAGGGCAAGGTAAGAATTCAATAATACTTTACGAGGACAAAATATAATTGCATATATAGAGAGAGAAAGAGAGAGGGAGAGAAAGAGAAACCTGAGCAGAAGAAAGCACTTCTGGTGAAAAGTGAACATATCGTTGACTACCATAAACTGCAGAACTAACATCAAAACCACTGCCAACTTTCCCTTTTCCAATCTCACATGATAAACCCCACCTAGAAGCATTGAAAACTTACTTCAATCCGTTAAACTTTGGCTTGCTCTCAACATTGGCATATGGAAACATCTCAAGTATAACAACGTGCAAATTTGTAACAATACATTAATGATATAGATAAGATGATCCAAAAAATCACTTTCATTCTAGTAGCTCAGAAAGCATAATCATTATAGTAGATGTTTCAATTGTAGTAAAAGAGAAAGAACATGATAGGAAAAAAATATGAGCAAATAAACACCACTAAAGATAAAATAAGTAAAAGATTTTAAAAGTACAATAGGAAAGGTACAATACCTGATTCCAATATGAATAGAAGTCATTGCAACCTAAGATTGTAATGTCAAGACCTGCATGAATAATCCAGTTGAGACATTAGATATTTACAATTACTTAATTTTAATAAGAAAGATGAAGCATCAAACATTACCTTGTAAAAGTAGTTTGTGTAACAAATCCTTCTTATCCTTTTCCAATGTCGCAAGGGCTGCAGCTACAGCATATTGCACTGCATATTCTACAAAGGGGTTCCTTGATTCACAGAGATTATAAGCCAACATTGATAAGCATTACCTCAAGCCAATATACCATCTATTTTCCCCGTTATTTGAATTTAGTTATTAAGACAAGAAAAACCACTAAAAATAATTCTTCTTCGGAAGACACAAATGTGGATTGCATGGTAGCTGCTTATCTTGCTCCAGCTAGTCCAAGGTAATGAAGTGAAGAGAGAAAAGTAAATGTGGATTGCTTGGTAGCTACTCTTCTTGCCGTGGCTAGTCCCA